CTTCTACTCGGCGTGATTTCCAGGAAAGCGTCCCTGGAGCCTTGCTCTCCACTGGGTCCCACCCAATGACAGCGGGGGGAACCCTCCTGGGAATCCCAGTGCTGAGCATCCCCGGGCCGGGGCAGGGGCAGGGAGGCTGCCCAAGCCACCAAAGGGCCTGCCCGCTCCTGGAGCTCAAGCGCCGGGCGCCCCTCAGCCGACACCCACAGGCTCTGGGCGTCCGGACTTGGGAGAAGGAAGGCAAAAGGATGGGGGCTCGGCACGGGGCCCACCTGGCCCCTGGGAGCTCCATCACCTACACCGGGGCCTCAGTCTTCCCTGCTGGAAATGGAGCTGGCACTGCTCTTGGGGCCAGCGAAGGCTTACAGTGGACTGTGTGTAAACAGCAGCACCTGCTCCCCTCGGGAGCACGCGCTGTAAGCCAGGCCCTGAGCACAGAGAGGTGGAGTAACTTGCCCAAAGTCACACAGCTAAGAAGGTGCAGCGCTGGGGTCCCAGCCCAGAGGCATGTGAATCCAGAGCTGGCTCTCAGCCCTGCCCGGGGAGGAAAGCCTACAGCAGCTGGCAGAGCCCCGCACAGGGCGGTGCCCCCGACACCGCAGGACTGTCCGCGGGATCCCTCTTAAGGTCCTGAGACCTCATTATTTGGGGACTTAGTTCTCACGGGGTTCAAGAGGGACCGCCTCACCCCCAACCCAACCGCCACAGCAAAAGCAGGCTCCCCACGCCCGCCCGAGGCTCCACCATCCAGGTGGTCCCCCGGTCATCACTTTCTGCAGGCTCAGTGGTCCTGAAAGGAGCCCTGGTTGCTCCAGGGAAGGACCCAGAGGAGATGGAAATAAGGAGACTTTTCACCTTATGTCCTTTTTAATTTTGAACTCAGTGAACGAGTCACTATCCAAAACACTATCAAAGTTATAAATGAAAACACTTAACACATTTCACAAGCCGCTAATAGGTGTGTGGGCACATCACAGACAGCCCGGGAAGGAGGAGGGGCCTCTGTGATGAGGGGCCCGGCCCCGAGGGTCCCAGGAGAGGAGTGGGCCCAGGTGTGGCCTGACTTGTCCAAGTAGAGCAGGGTCCGGGGAGGCCAGGCTGTAACCCTGGTGGCACCCACCCATGGGGCTCTGACTCACAGCACATCCCCCCCCCGCCGAGGCCCAGGAAGGGGGGCCTGCACTGCCACTAGCGGGACTGGATCCCCCAGACCCGGAGCTATGCTTCATGTTTCCCTAGTGCCCAGGACAGATTCACTGCCGAGCACTCCACACGGACTGGCCAGGGAAGGACAGTGAGCAGGGGGAGCCAGGTCCCTGTTCTTTCTCCCAGGCCTGAGCATAGATTGTGGACTGACCCCCGCGGGGGGCCCTCTGGTCTTGCTGGGGTTTCCAAAGGGACTTTGTGGTAGCAAAGGACGGAAGTGAGACTGGGGACATCAGGTGGCTCTGGGAACCAAGCAGCTTCTTCTCCCCTCCTGGGCAGTTGCTAAGGGCCCTCCAAGGACCAGATCCTGCTGAGGGGGCTGTCCCCATGTACAGGGAGCTCATGAGGTCCAGGGCCAGGAGAGGCTGTCCAGGCAGGGAAGTGACACTGACTGGCCCTCGCAGCATACCCTGCCTGGGTACTGGCGTGTCATTCGCCCGAGCTCCCTCACCTGCTGAGTGCTGCAGACAAGTGTTCAAGGAACCCCAGACAGAAAAGCACCCGTCACCAGCTATAGGAGGTTGGAGCTGAGGCCTGACCTCACTCCTCCGTGGTGTGGCTCTGTGGGCTCATCCACCACGACCCACTCAAGCAGGGCTGGGACCAGCAGGGAGAGGTGCCTGCAGAGGGTGCAAGCTCCAGGCTGAGTTAGGGTGGGCACTCAAGTCCCCTCCTGTCACTCCATGGCTGCCCTTGGGCTGGCAGGCTGTAGTTCATCATGTCCCTGGACCTGGCAGGCCGGCCCTCTGCCCCTTCTCATTGCCCTCCCAGACAAGCCCAGGCTGGAGCCCCAAACTTTATGGAGCAAGCCCTGACTCAAGAACCCACAGGCTCAGGGACAGAGAGCAGAGACCGCCCCCGGTCCATGGAGGAGCCCGGGAGTATGGGCACTGCGGGAGGACAAGCTGAGCGGAGAGGGAAGCAAGGGAGCCCTGCAGGGGTGGAGGGTGGCCAGGCAGGGGCAGGGCCAGGAATCAGCAGGTGGAGCCCCCAGCTCGAGGGCCAGATAAGAGGCTCCCAGGCTGTCCTGCTCCACTAGAGGACCACAGACACTGGGCAAGATCCCTCCATTCTCCAGGCGCTGGCCGGGGCTGGCACATTCCAGGAACACACACAAACACACTTCCTTACTAGCCAGACAACCTGGTCAACATGTCCGGAAGCAGCTCTGAGAGCCAGTTCCCCTCCCCAGGCTTGGTATGAACAACAGGGTGGCCAAGTACCCTGGGCTCTTTGCAAGGTCTCAGAGGACCTGGTGGACAGGGAGGTGGCAGGGTCCTGGCACAGCTCTCACCCCCCAGGGCAGAATGGCCAATGGCCAGAGCCCTGGGCTTGAACCCTCCCAGGGTGTCCCCCACCTCTCAGCCAGCCCTGTGGTCCCCAGTCTCCTTGACTGCACCCTCATTGGGAGCTGCTCATCCCGGCTTGTCCTCGAAAAGCTGACTCCAGCCCCCAGACACTGCTGGGCTCACAGGAACATACACCAGGGCACACAAACCGGCCTGGGCATGGAGGTTCCTGCCAGGAAACCCGATTTCCTGTTTCTGGGCCTAGAAACACTCAGGGAGACAGTCTGGGTCTCAGCCTAAGGCCTTCCCACTGCATCATGAAGGAGGCTGCTCGGCCCCCTCCTCGGGGCCTCCCCCATGTGCTGACCCACTCACCTCGGGCTGTGCTGCCGCTAGAGTTCCCCACCCTTGCACCCAGGGTCTTCCCAGGTTTTTCTAGCAGACCCTGGCCTGGCTAGGCCCCTGGGAACATGGAGTCATGGGGCGGGACAGGGGCCTGGCTTTATGGCTGGCACTTACTTCACCCTCCCCAGCCTGGGAGTCACAGACAGTGCCCCCATTTCACAGCTGGAAAAACTGAGGCACAGGGAGGTGAAGGAACTTGCCTACAGTCTCATGGCTGGAAAGTGGCAGAGCTAGGACTGAACCCTGACTCACCTCTGCAGCCTGACTTGGAAACCTAGCCCCAAGACCCTCAGACTCCAACCAAGGGGCTGAGGCAGGGCCAGGATGGTCATGGTCAGGGCCAGGGGCTGCAGGAGGGGGCCTCTGTCCGGGGTCTGCGACTCAAACATGGGGTAGGGTGGCAGGGGCTCCCTGGAGAGAACCTGGCCTGGACCAGAACAGACCAGACCAAGGTTTCCTATTCCCCAGCCCACCCAGGCCACTGACCTGTCCATCACCTGCCCCTCCCTAATGAAAGAGGTGCCCCACTGATGGCTCCCCTCTGTGGCTGAAGGTCCCAGGCCACCGGTGCTGGCCCAGGTTTCTCCACTGTTGGTGGCAGCTCTCAGGCACACCCTGCCCTCTGCCCAACCCTGGGGCCTGGGAACTCCAGCCTCACCTCTTCCTCATTCCTGCCCCCCCTCACCCCCCAGGTTCCCCACTCAGGGAGGACTGAACACTCCCTCACTTCCCCCACCACCAGCCTCTAGCCCCCACGCACCCATGGAGGGGGCAGCCCCTGCCCCTCAGGGACCCCAACAGGACTCAGCCCTGGCTCCGTGCTCCGGCCTCCGTGTGGGGAGCAGGACAGACCTGCAGCAGCGTCAAGAGGTGGGCCCAGGAGGAGCCGGAGACACGTCCCCCGCCTGCCCAGCCCTGCAGCCCTTCAGGACCCTCGCTTGCCCTGCGCTTGGGAGATTCAACTTCCTTGGGCTCTTTGAACCCTGGCTCACTGGCAGTTACCTGCTCCCTAGCTCTGCCATGGTCAGGGCCAGGCCCAGAGGAGCAGTGGGGGCCTTTCGTGGAGGGGTGTGGGGGGAGGCCCCTACTGTTGCCAGTCTTGGTGTCTCCTTGTAAACAGCCTCATCTCAGCACCCAGGTCCCTGCCAAGCCTGAGGTTGCCAATGCAAATGGGTTTTCCCAGCAGCTTTGACCCAAGGCTGGAGTCAAATTTCAGTGACAGCTTTTCACGAGAAGATGGGGTGGGGAGGGGTGCTGGTGCTCACTGGGCAGATCTCCTTGCAGCCCCACCTCCAGAGCTGAGGCCTGTAGGCTCAGCCCCCCATACACACACTCCGTGGGTCTCGCTTGCTTGGCAGTAGCCCCACAACCTTGCAGTTTCTCTCATATCGAACCCAAACACCTTAAGCTGCAGAACAATCCTTGGCGTTTTCTTGTCTCCCAGGGACCCAGGCATGCTTAGAAAGGACAGAGCAGTGGCCCCCCACCCCTGCGGGGCGGGGCTCACTTGGCACATGAGGCCGGTGGACTCCGAATTCCAGGGCTGAAACCTATTTTGTTCCATAGCCACTGGCGTGGGCCTTCCCAGCTCTGGGTGTGCCTTAGTTTCCACTTCCGTACAATGGGTAGGAAAGGGCCAACCAGTAAATGGGATAACCACAGAACCTTCCAGCTCTGCCTCTTGGTACATGGGGACCCAGACCTCCTGCTCCCAGCCAGCTTGGCCCTGCCCCTACTTAGGGGAGCACCATTTAAATTTGTTTATTTTTCAAAAACTCCGTCCGTTTCTCAATTTCAGACTGGGGGTGGTGCTGGACACTTACGCAGGGAGGCCTTCCCAGTGGGGAGTATGGAAGGGAGCCTCTGCCCCCAAGACTCCCCCGCAGATGCCTGAAATGCCTCTATCATTACCATTCCTTCTGGCCCAGCAGCCATGCTTAGCTGAGGATGACAGTGTCAGGGCTTTCGGCTTCAGGCTGAGGGCTGGGCTGAGTGCCTCCCTGGACTCCTCGCTTGGGGCTCAGGGCCTGGGGGACGGTGGATGAGCATCCACCTATGGCAGCCCCCACCTCAGGTCAGCTCTGCTCAGGCCCAGGAGCACTAGATACAAGTGATGAACACGTCCATGGAGGTGGGTACCTCGATCTCCTCAAAGAGCACGCGGCCCCCAGTGCTCCCGGAGCCCCCTGCCTTGGCTGCGGCCCTCAGCAGGTCCTGGGCGCGCTGCAGGAGGCGCTGGTTCCGCTGGCGGCCCAGGCGGCGCAGCGCCAGAATGGCCAGCACGTGGTCGCGCCTGCAGAGACACAGGGCCCTCAGTGCAGACCCAGCACCCCCAGCGACCCTGGGAGAGGGGAAGCCCTGGCTCAGGCTGGAGGCATGAGTGCACCCACATTCCCGGAGCCTGGTCTGAGCGAGGCCAGGAGGCGCAGCACTCCCGGAGGGGCTGGCTGGGCCTTGAAGGGTGCCGGCAGGGTGGAGAGAAGGGGCCACTGGACTGGGGAAACAGCCTATGCAGGGGTTCAGGAACCACGGTGGAGTGAGGGGGGAGGCAATGTGGTGGTGCAGAGGGCGGTTGGCCTAGAGCACCATGGGCCTGGGAAAGGTGCCGGGGCCCCCTCCTGAGAGCACTGGGCAGGGATCCTCAGCAAGGCAACAGGGAGAAAGGCAGCGTGGAAGCGGGAGGTCCACACCCAGAGGCACCCTCAGTTACCCTTTCTCTGCTGGAGCACCCACGAGCCTGGGAGGGCCGGGCCACTGAGGGCAGGGGAATCCCAAGGGGTCAGGAGGGGAGCCCCAGAGTGCTGAGGGGGTGGTCATTCTGAATTAGTCAGAGACAGTACAGACTGGGGGTAGGGAATTGGGGAGGGCACCGGGAAGGGGTTTTTGAAATCTCCAAGATCAGGAAGAGATTCCAACTGGGATTTCCAGGGGTTCGATGACTCATCCCCCAG